TGGCTGTTCCTGGCCTTGCCAGAAACACCCACCTTAGAACGGACATCTTGATCAATGGACAGACAGCTGTACTCGCCACTCTGGTGAACTTTGATGTTTTTGCAGCAACAAATCTTCCTTTAATTAACTCCGCTCATTTTGTTATCAAGATTCCCTGACAGGCAGCCCCTCTGAGCCTCAAGGAAGTCCCAGTTTGAGGTCCCTTGCTCTTGGACTTTGGTTCCAGCCTTTCCCCCTGCAAGCTGTTCCTTCTGTTTCTGTTTCCAAGGGAGGGAACAGCTCAGAACCCAGCCCAGAAAAGAGGATCCTGTTACCAGAAAGTAAGGGGTTGCTTTAGGGCCAGACCCCTTACCTGCGGTTACCTTGCAGGGAGCAAGGTTCCTCGGTCAGAGTGGAAGAAGAAAAAAGAGAGAAGGCAAAATAATAATAATAATAATAATTATTATTATTATTATTATTATTATTATTATTATTATTATTACTATTATTATTATTATTTATATCCCACCCCCCCAGCCAAGGTCGGGCTCAGGGCGGCTAACAAGTTGAAAGAATACAACTTAAAAACAAGATTAAAATACAACATTAAAATATTGAAACATTAAAATATTAAAAAGCAAAAAGCAAAAAGCAAATGGGGCTGTTAAGCCTCTGATCATTTCATTTGTCGTGGCAAAGATTCAACCCATCTGAAAGCAAAGAAAGGAGATCCCCGAGACAATTGGTGTTCTGGCTTTTAAATATTTCCATTTACAAGAAATCCCATCCTACAAATGTCAGTAACACGTAGGCAAATGCTAGAAAAACACCACAAAATTAGGAGGGGTTGCATCAGATCAGACAAGTCAAAAGTACAATATGTCAATCAAACCATTTGTGAATTGCAAGACTTTCACCTTTCCAGACAGAGTTGACATAAGACACTGACATTCCAAGCAATTATTACAAGTTTCATTCAAATTGACCACAAATTGATCAACAGGACGGGTGGGCTCCATTCACCTGACAGTCTGGACATACATGGCTCTGTGCACTTAGGGGCCTATGGCAGACAAAGGTTTCCCATAATGCACACGTGAAGGAGTGATTTCAGAAATCAAAGAATAAAGCATTTACAAAACATTTTACACTGTACCTCATCGCCAGGAGCCGGAGTCAAGTGTAAGTCATAAATTAAAAGAAACATGGTACAGTTAACTCTTTTTTTTTAAGGACACCAAAACAGCACAGGCCTAGTGGTCGCAGTAGCTCTTCCCCGCAAATCTTGCTCCGATGAAAACCGTGTCCGCCCACAACCAATCTCTACTCTGCTCTTTTCATTTCTCTGCATCTTCTGGGAGAACAGGGGGGGGGCAACTGGTTGCAGCAGGAAGGGGAGACTCCCTGGGCTCTTCACCAGCCTGTCTCCACTCAACGCCTTGCCTACCCCCCCCCCAGTCTCTGCACTGATCTCTGCCACAGACTCCCCCTCTTCTCCTCCCCCCCCCGTCTGCCCCCTCTTCTCTTTCTGACCACTCATCACTCCTCCTCTGGGCTCTGAGCCTTCTTTCCCTGGGAGAAGACATGCCATCTCCAGAGGAGGAAAAAACTTAAGCACTATGCAGACTTCCCAAGAAATAGACCAGAGGCAAATGTACTTCATCCAGCAGAGCTTTGTTGAAGGCAAATAAGCATAATGGTCACAAATCCAGTACAGTCATACCTTGGGTTACAGACGCTTCAGGGTGCGTTTTTTCAGGTTGCGGACCACCAAAACCCGGAAGTACTGGAACGGTCACGCATGTGCAGAAGCTCCAAATCACAACCACACATGCGCAGACGCGGGTTGCGAGTGCTGCGGGTTGTGAATGTGCATCCTGCATGGATCACGTTTGCAACCCAAGTGTCTACTGTACATTCAGAATTGGCACAGAACAGCAGAACAAAGATACAAAAAGAGAAAGTAGGTGAGACCCGGGCTCCTCCTGGCCTGTTCTAGTCAGCATGACCTTGACAGAAAGATAGCAGAACCAGTTTAAACCTGCTGCTCTCAGCTTCCCAAACAAGAAATAACTCAAACAAGAACCTTCTGCCCATTTCTTTCACACAGAAAGAAAACTTTCCAGAACCCTCTTGAATTAAGCAGAATAGCAAAAATCTCTACACATCAGATCAATACTTTCTGTACTGTTATGGTAAAATCTGGGTGCGGGGCTACTCTGCCACCCAGCTCGTCGGCCTAGGTCCGCGGGTCCCTGCGGAGGAAAATGAGCTCAGCCGGGGACAGGAGCAAACTGGAGAAGATCCAAGTTTATTGCGCAACAGGTTCAAGGCGAGATTGAACAGCGAGAAAGGGGTGACATGAACTTTTGAAATTTCCCTCCATGTCCCAGAATACAGTGCAAAATACATCCCAGTTACATCATGAATACATTAAGAAGAGGTTGGGTTACACAGATTACATCATGAATATATTAAGAAGAGGTTGGGTCACACAGGATTAACATATGGAGGGGGGAGGGGGGAATATGCAGAGCTGGAGATATGCGCAGATAAGCACACCCTGAGTACCCGATGAGAAGACAATGGTCCACGTATGCATGGTCTGCCACCTGGCCTTGCCCTGAGGAAAGGCTTGGCAGAGTGATTTGACAGGATTAGGGTCTTGACACCTTGCTTGAGGGATTATGGAGGACAGGGGAGGTGTCATGGAGTCCTAGAGAAATTGAGCAAATTGACACATTGATTTTCTATGAATTTTATAGATTTTAGTCCCTTTTGACGTTGACAATTGGAAATAAATGGATATATTGTAGCGAAGAAGGAGGTGAAGAATACATGCCCCCCCCTTCCGTATCAGTACTAAGAAATGCAAACTGACGCACCTGTCTGCATCCAGCGAGTCCAGGACATTCATTCGTAGGTACAAGATTTCCTAAGCAAAATAGGATGAATTAATTGTTTCCGCTTCATATTGGAAGTGTCCGTAGCATTGCTACATTGAGGCAGTGGGGGTTCCATTCATTAAAACAGGAGTAATACCTGCTAATTGCATCTAGCAGCCGCTGGGGGGCGCACTTAATGAGCGTGCATCAGTGACTAGGTGCATGAACAAAAGGCAAGGCGGCACTTATGGACTTGATCGTGCATCAGTTTCCTGCCCCACCCGCCCCCCAAATAAAGCATATCTGGGGGGGTGTCCTGCACATCGCTCCCACTGTCCTGCTTTCGAAAGGGAGAGGGGGCTGAGCTGGGTGCGCTCGGCTTGCCAGGGGTTAAAAGGAACTGAGCTGGAGTCCTAGAGAGGATAGGAAATGAAATCTGCTGGCAGGTCCTCCAGAGCCCAAGCCCCGCCCTCCCAAGGTCTTCCCTGCAAGGAGAAGGAGGGTGGCTGCTGTCTCTCTGCTCTGCAAGTGCTGCCCCTTCTGGGATCTGGGGCTTCTCCGCTCTCTTCTGGGTGGGGTGCATTGGGGAGAAGACTATAGTGGAATATGCGGGGGGGGGCACCTCCAAGTCAGGGAGCAGAGGGTCCTGCCCCACCCCTCTGCGAAGCCAGAGAGGGGGCACCTTTGTAGGTCTGCAACTATTATTATTATTACTACTACTACTGTTACCAGTAGAAGGCTGATCGCCGAAGAATGGATGCTTTTGAATTCTGGTGCTGGAGGAGACTCTTGAGAGTCCCATGGACTGCAAGAAGATCCAGCCTCTCCATTCTGAAGGAAATCAGCCCTGAGTGCTCACTGGGAGGACAGATCCTGAAGCTGAGGCTCCAAGACTTTGGCCGCCTCATGAGAAGAGAAGACTCCCTGGAAAAGACCCTGATGCTGGGAAAGATGGAGGGCACAAGGAGAAGGGAACAACAGAGGACGAGATGGTTGGACAGTGTTCTCGAAGCGACCAGCATGAGTTTGACCAAAGTGTGGGAGGCCGTGGAAGACAGGAGGGCCTGGCGTGCACTAAACGACTAAACAACAACAACTGCTACCAGTGCCCTCAGTCAAGAGCTTGGGTGTAACCTTTGACGCCTCCCTCTCTATGGCGGCGCAGGTTGCAGCCACAGCAAAGGTGGCATTTTTCCATCTCCGCTGTATCAAGCAGTTGGTTCCTTACCTTTCTTGCCCTGATCTGGCCACAGTGATCCATGCAATGGTCCCCTCCAGGCTTGATTACTGTAATTCACTCTACATGGAGCTGCCCTTGAAGCTGACCCAGAAACTCCAGCGGCTGCAGAATGCCGCGGCGAGACTCCTTATGGGGTCCTCGCTCCAGGATCACATTCATCCAGTGCTTTTCCAGCTGCACTGGCTCCTGGTGGAGTACAGGGTCAGGTTGAAGGTGCTGGTTTTGACCTTTAAAGCCCTTCACGGCCTGGGACCCTCATACCTACGGGACCCCCTCTCCTGGTATGCCCCACGGAGGACCTTACGGTCCACAAATAACAACACTTTGGAAGTCCTGAGCCCCAAGGAGGTTAGGCTGACCTCAACCAGAGCCAGGTATTTTTCGGCTGTGGCCCCGACTTGGTGGAACGCTCTGTCCCAAGAGACTAGGGCCCTGCGGGACGTGACATCTTTTCGCAGGGCCTGCAAGACAGAGCTGTTCCGCCTGGCCTATAGGCTGGACTCAGTCTAAACCCCACACCTTTTTTTATGGAACCCTTTATATGGGATTTGTATATAATTTTCCCCTTGGCTCTTTTTGCTGGCCTATGTAGGACCAGCATGGCTAGTTGGCCCCGGTGAATATTTTACATTTTCTCCCCTTACGGCTTTGATCTATGGGCTACCACTAAAACAAGTTTGCATTTTAAGCTGCATTTTAAATTGTAATTTAACTTACATTTTAATCAACTGGTTTTTTGGTTTGTTTTGTTTTCAATGTTTTTACTGTATTTAAATTCAGTGTTAGCCGCGCTGAGCCTGGTCTTGGCCGGGGAGGGCGGGGTATAAATAAAAATTTATTATTGTTGTTGTTGTTGTTATTCCCCAGCCACTCTGCAGGGCTCACAACAGAATGTTAAGATACAATAAAACATCAAACATGAAAAACTTCCTCAAACAGGGCGCTGCTTCCGGAGACCCGTTTCTGGAAGCCCCGGGAGAGGAGCGGAGCTCTGGCGCTCGGATCCTGCTCGCTGCTTCCCCATGGACGGGCCCCGGCCTGATCCTGCAGGCTCTCCCGAGGTCCTTCGGTCTTCACGCAGCGCATCCCTGAAGGCGCTCGAGTCCCACCTGGCTGGTTCCCCAAGATGATGGGATGCGCAGAAGGGGCTGCCTCGCCGTGCGCGCGGCGGTGTCGGGAGCGCGCCGGGCCCCGCCGCGCATGCGTCCCTGCCGCTGGGCCAGCCGAGCTCCTTCCGTGGACCTGGACTGGTCGGCCGGCGGGCGCGCGCCGGAGGCTGCTGCGGGGCTGGCGGGGCAGGTGAGTGGCGGGGGCTCGCGGGCGCGCGGGGCTGGCCTGGCCGAGCTGCCTCCTGCTCCGAGGCAGGCGCACTCTGCGTGTGCTCAGAGGCACGCTCGTGGCCCGAAGAGGTTCGGCCGGAGAGCCCCACGCCAGCCAAGGCTCGCAGCCGGACAGGTGCCTTTCCCGGCGGGGCTCGGAGCTAGGATGGAGCCCCCAACACACACACCCACCCCCGCCGCCACCTCCTGCTTGCCGGGGCTCCGCTTTGGGAGAGCTGAAGGCCAGCCTAGAGGGTCCCCCAAATAAGACCCCTTGGGCGTGTGCAATGCATGGGACTCCAGGGAGGGAGGGAGGAGGGAAGCCTGGGGAGCTCCGCTTTGCAAGGGTGAAAAGGATCAGCTCAGGAGGCCAGACAAGAGGCTCATAGAAATAGTGAATTATTATTCTTCTTATTATCAGGGGTCCCCAGGGTCACCTAGCCCAACCTCCCGCAAGGTAGAACTGTTTTGCCCAACCTGGGGCTCGAACCCACGACGCTGAGATGATCGAGCCTCGCGCTTGACCCGCCCCTCTTTGGCTTTATCTCTGGGTGTCTGCAGTGCGCTTGGCTCCTCCTGCGATCCTGGGATAAAAAGAAGGTGAGCCTTGCAAGGGTTAAAAGGAACCGAGCTGCAATTCCTAGAGACGACGGGAAATAAGGGGGGGGGGAGGCCACGGTCCTCCCGAAGGAAAGCCCCTCCCACATTCCCAGCTTTCTCCCTGAAAGGGGGTGGCTTTTGTCTCCTCTGCAAGACCTGCGCCACTGGCACCTTTGGGATCTGGTACGTCTACTCTCTCTTCCCCATGGGGCGCATTGGGGGTCCCAGAGCTGCAGGGGAAGGTGCATGGGGTGCCTGCTGAGGACCCCCAAGTCAGGGTTCTGCACCCTTCCTTCTCTACAAAGCCAGGGAGGGGGCGAGGGGGCAGGAGCTCCGCAGCTCTCCTCTTCCCTTGGATGGAGACGCTGCTTGGCCCCTTTGGGGAGGGGTCACTGAGCCAGGGAGAAAAGGGCCTGCAAAGGGACCCCAGTGGGATTGAGGAATCAGCCACGTTCCTTAGCCCAGGTGGCAGCCAGATGGAAACCTTTGGACGCTGAAACTTGGTCTGTATGGTGAACAAATAAACAAAGTCCATGCATCTCTCAGTGCGCAGTTAGACCCAAGGAACTCCCTGCCACAGGAGGAAGGGCTGGTCACCAAGCAAGAGGGTTTTCAAAGAGGATGAGGCCAATCAGGGAGGAGCAGGGGGCTATTGACAACGACAACAACAACAACAAAACGATTTATCAACAACAACAACAAATTATTGTTTATGCCCCACCCATCTGGCTGGGAAGCCACTCTGGGCAGCTTCCGACAAAAGATTAAAAATACATTAAAACATCAGTCATGAAAAACTTCCCTAAACAGGGCTGCCTTCAGGTGTCTTCTAAAAGTCAGGTAGTTGTTTCTTTCCTTGACATCTGCTGGGAGGGCGTTCCACAGGGCAGGCGCCACCACAGAGAGGGCCCTCTGCACCTGGTTCCCTGTAACTTGGCTTCTCGCAGGGAGGGAACCGCCAGAAGGCCCTCGGAGCTGGACCTCAGTGTCCGGGCAGAACGATGGAGGTGGAGACGCTCCTTCAGGTATACTGGACCGAGGCCGTTTAGGGCTTTAAAGGTCAGCACCAACACTTTGAATTGTGCTTGGAAACGTCCTGGCCATGATGGTCATGCTCTGCTCCCACAGCCAGAGGCAGCCATGCTTCTGAAGGCCAGCTGCTGGGAAGCGCAGGGGAGAGTTGCCCTAGGTCTTCAGTCCTGCTGGTGGGCTTGCCAGAAGAGGCCCCTGGTTGGCCCCAGTAAGAACAGGAGACCAAATGGAAAGCAGAGCGCAACCTGGGGGTAACAGAATAAAGGATGCAAGGAGGGAGCTGCCTGGACTGGGTGGACACAGAGGAAGAGTGAGAGGAACCAGCTGGGGGACCCCCAAGGGAAGGTGGCTGTGGGCCAGGGGAGCGAGCAGACTGGGAGAATGCGTCTGAAGCTGAAGAGATAACAGGGCTTAGTGAGTGGGGAGAGTCTGTGGCAGAGAGCAGTCCAGACAGAGGCAGAAGCTGCAGCAGGAAAGTGGGAAGAGGGAGGCAATGTTAGAAACCCAGATATATAAGCTAGGGGCCAAGTGGCTCCTTAAGCCAAGGTTGCCATTTTGGAGCAAGACAGCTCTCAAGTCTTATTTTTCAAATGATGGACTGACTGTGATTGATTCTCAGTTAAACATCCTGCTAGTTCAGATGACCTTGAGTTGGATTAAGAGTTTTGAGAACTTAAAGAAGAAAAGTCCCTTGATCCAGGGGCAGTCCACAGATATATTGGCCTGTTCCAAACTCTCTTTCTTAATGGTGACATGGACCATTCATGACGTAGGGATATTCTTCACAACCGTGAACATGGCAGTCGGGTAGGCAAAGTGAAAACAATTCACTATAATGTTGTTTGCTGCTCCTGCTCAGAGTGCACAGAAAAAGCATTTTGGTTCCAGGAATTCATTCTGAATGCGCCAATAAAATATAGCTGATGGCATTCTACAGGAGGGGGTATTAGTGTGTGAAAACAGTCCAGATCCAATGATACCCAGATGGTGGAGATGCCAGCTGCTATCCTGGCACCCAGGCAGCTTCACTTGGTGTCGCTCAGAGTCTGAGTTGTGGTGCAGTCCAGCCCTGGTCCCAAGCAAGACTCACCCACGCTTGCCCAGGGATCATTTCTCTTCTCCTTAAAGTAAAGGTAAAGGGGCCCCTGACCATCAGGTCCAGTCGTGGCCAACTCTGGGGTTGCGGCGCTCATCTCGCTTTATTGGCCAAGGGAGCCAGCGTCCAGCTTCCGGGTCATGTGGCCAGCATGACTAAGCCGCTTCTGGCGAGCCAGAGCAGCGCACGGAAACGGCGTTTACGTTCCCGCCAGAGCGGTACCTATTTATCTACTTGCACTTTGAGGTGCTTTTGAACTGCTAGGTGGGCAGGAGCAGGGACCGAGCAACGGGAGCTCACCCCGTCGCAGGGATTCGAACCGCCAACCTTCTGGGAAGTCAAGGAGGAGGAGGCTAAGTCGGCCATGATTAAATGGACCCAATATCTAGGTCACACCATACAAATGTCCCAATGGGAGAATTTGTGGAAGGTAAATTGGAGGTTTACCGCCTGTTGTTCCATAAGGGAAAATATGCAAAAAATGTTATACTGGTGTTACCTGACGCCGCACAAACTCTCCAAGATGTATAAAAATACACCAGATGTATGTTGGAGATTCGGGGAAGCAGGAGGCACCATGATTCATATATGGTGGCCATGCCAGAAGATCAAAGAGTTCTGGAACGACATTCACTCAGAACTAAAAATAATGTTAAAGGTCAATTTCCCTAAAAAAACAGAAACATTTCTTCTGAGTATTACAGGCACAGATATCACCAAGGGTCTAAGGAATTTTTTTTTTGTACGTAACCACGGCCGTGAGGGTGACTATTGCAATATATTGGAAAAATTACAAACTTCCTACCAGAAAAAAACTGGTTACTCAAACTTACAGACTATGTGGAATTAGCCTCTCTTTCTGAAGGAATTAGAGAAAAACCCAGACAGGAGTTCATTCTAGGATGGGATAATTTTAAGAACTACTTGAAAAATAGTTGCAATATAAACATGCTAGTTGCCTTTGGATGATTTCTGTAAATAGTATATATAAAGGAAAATGATATCAAAATAGAAAAGAGAATTTTTACAAGTAATAGCAATAAATTTAATATAATATAAAGGGAAATACGGAGAAAATGGGAGGTAAAATGTATGTGTAGAAAATACAGTTAAAATTGTATTTGAATTTCTTTTTCTTTTTCTATTTTTTGATACTTTTTTCTTTCTATTTTTTTTTTTTGGTGAGCCTAGATATCTTTATCGGACTGAGTGAAATGAAGATAATTATGTGTTGTATATATATGGAAAATAATAAATAAAGCAACTAATAGAAAAAAATACAGCAGGCACCTCTCATTAGGCAGAACTTGGCAGAAGGCCAAAGGATCCTTCCGATCTCCTGGAGGTGTCCTGAGAACAGAGATGGATGAGCAAGACTCAGCTGGCCCTGAAGCAGGAAGAGGCCATGCCATGGAAACGGGGAGCTGTGGGGGATTCCATGAAGACTCCGTGCAGAAGATCCTGGGTGAGGAGGACACCCCTTGCTCAGAGGTGCAGAGCCAGCAGCTCAGGCAGTTCTTCCACCAGGAGGCCAAAGGACCCCGAGAGGTTTGCAGCCAACTCTACCACCTTTGCTGTCAATGGCTGAAGCCGGAAAGGCACACGAAAGCTGAGATGTTGGACCTGGTGATCTTGGAGCAGTTCCTGGCTGTCCTTCCTCTGGAGATGGAGAGCTGGGTGAGGGAATGCGGAGCGGAGACCACTTCCCAGGCGGTGGCCCTGGCCGAAGGTTTCCTCCTGAGTCAGGCAGAGGAGAGGAAGCAGGCAGAGCAGCAGGTGAGAGAGACTTTCCTCTGGATACTCCCAAGGGGCTCCAAAGAGGAGGGAGAGTATTCCCAAATCATTTCCTAATGGCCCATCCTTTTTTGGAAAGCAAACCCATTAAAAAAGGAAGGGCCATTCCATTTCTAATCCTTCTCCTCATGCTCTGTTTTGAATGCTTTTCGCTCTTCTAGGGGAAAGAACTGTTTGCAGAAATGGGTCTGGATTTCTGTGAGGCAGAACCGACTCCGTTGGATACCCGAGAGAGGCCACTGGGTAAGGAGGAAGGAGTTTTTTCTCCATTTTGTCACATGTTGTAGATTTTGAAAGAACTCTGTGAGTACTTTGCATCTTTTGGAGAAGAGACTTGGGGTGAAAAATTCAGAGAAAAGGAGATACGTTTTTGCACAACTAAAATGGGAAATGGGTATAAACATCCTAAAGGGGTACTTTTTTGAAGGCCCATTTCCCCTCTGAGAAGCAGGCAGTCGTGACCTTTGTCTCTCGCAGGTGACAGGACGATGCCAGCCAGACCTGCTCAACCATCTCCTCACGATGGCAGAGGAGAAGCAGCAGCTGGGAAACCAGATCAGGTAGGAGGAAGGAGGCTATCATGGACTGGTTAGACACAGAGGAATGGTGGGAGGAGGAACCGCCAAGGAATGAAGGCTCAGGGCCAGGGGAGGGGTGGTGGGACGATGATGAGGGGTCAGAGGGAGAAAAGGAAGGAGACTGGGAGGAGGAGGAGGAGGTGTCAGAAGCTGGAGAGGCAACAGGGCTTAGTGAGCAGAGAGAGTCTGTGGCAGAGAGCAGCCCAGACTCCGAGGCAGAAGCGGAAGCAGGAGATGGAAGGAGAGAGGCAGGGAGGGGTTTGGCTTGTGTAGAGGCAAGGGGTCTCCCCATCCTCCTGCAACAAGCTCTCCTCCCCGCTTGTCTCCCACAACCCGGAGAGCCATGAAGCAGGAGGAGCAGTCTCAGATTGCTTACGGAGTATTATGGAAAGGAAGGGACTTAGCTGGGAGAAATCGGGGCCTTTTGTCTCTGCAGCTGTCTCCTAATGGCAAGACCCACGGAGAAAAGTAGGTCATTAGGCCTGGCAATCCAACAAAGATCCCGTTTTTTTCTAATGAAGAGTTAAAATCACCCGTTCTGTGTAGGCAGAGAGGTGGGGCAACCAGGCTGCCTCTAGCATGAACAAATCTCTCTCCTCCTCCTGGCTTCCCTCAAAGAGGACCTAAACAAAGGCTGAAATGCTATTCAGGGAGGTTTATGTGCTGGGAATAAGGAACAGCAGCGTCCCCTTAACGCACCTTCTGAATGTCGCTAGGATTGTTTTGTGGGATGTGAAACAAAAGAGCAGTCAAGTACAACCTTCCTAGAGTGAACATGTTTACAAAGGGGGAGGAATGTTTGCCCAGCCAGCAGGTAAACTTCCTGTTTCCTTCTGGGCTGCGACAGACTTCCTCCTCATGTGACTAAAGGTGGGCGTGGCCTCACCTATGCAGGTAACAACAAAAGCACAGGGCAGGGCAGCCATCTCTCTCTCTTTGACATTGAAGAAGCAACATCTGCTTAGCCAAAGATGCTCTCTTGGCCACCAGCTAAGAAAGAACAAAGGGACTGTCTCCTTATGAGATAGTTTCCAGGTGTATGTTACTTTTCTAAGCTAAGTCTGCTTTTTGGGATCCGATTGTGAACAGAATGTGAGTAAACTCTTTTTACGGTTTTATAGAACACTGTGTCGCGTCTTATCTTTTATGAGGGGAAAAGGGGAAAATACCAGAACAGTTATTATAGAGCCTTTAGTGAGCCTGAGCAAACGCATCTGCTGTGAGTTTAAAAAGGGGAATGTTACTCTGCTAAATTGTGAACTTGTTAACACAAGTCGGAAAGGCTATTATCAGACAATATATCCTCTCCTGCATCCCTGAACATTCCCACATGTTTATAAGTCATTACAGTTTCATTTCTAGATTGAATGTTAAAATAGGCTTCTAAGCGTTTTCACACTGTACTAAACCATGGCCAGGGTGCACCTAACCAGCGCCACCATTCACACAAAGGGGCTCCCCCCCCCCATCCTCCTCATTCCCCCATTCACCTCTTGAACTTGGTCTTAGGGCATCGGGAGGGCCTCCTGACCCCCAGAACAGCACACAGGGAAATGGGATCCTTGCATAGGATTGCTTGCACAAAGAGAATGATTTGAAGAACACCAGGTTCTTAATAGCTCACATTAAAATACACAATGAATTATTCCATTAACACATTGAAATATTTATCCATAATTAAAATGTGCAGCAAAACAAACCCATTAAAAAAGAACAGCAATTAAGAGGCAGAAAATAACAGAGTAAAGTGTAACAGATCACCTTTATGTTGCCTAAGAGGACAACCTTTTTCTTTTAGGGTCCAGTGTGCTTTGAAGATGTAGCTGTCCATTTCACAGACGAGGAGTGGGCGTTGCTGGATCCTGACCAGAGAGCTCTGCATAAGGAAGTCATGGAGGAGAATCGTGGGATCTTGGACTCTCTCGGTAAGGCTCCCTATTGGATCATCGCATCTGTTTTGTAAATCAAGACATCTCTCTATGTGACGAACCTCTGATATTTCGATGGGGCTCAACAGTAAGCCTTGGATGAAAGACTATTGACTGCTTTCCCTGTGAATATTCTTCCTCCAGTTCTGCCTTTTCAAACCACGATCAGGCTGTCTGAACTGCCCAGGCCTTCTTCAATGTAGGCTTCAGAGTGATTTAGGATGTAGAAGTAGCTTTTCCTAGGTTCCTTGTTATTGTTCTTGCTTCTTTGTGTTTTTGATTGACCAAAGATAGATTGACATTGGAGATGACACAGATTCCATGATTAGGCCAAACAGAAGCCATCCCAGAAAAGAGCCAGACCTTTTGAATTGCAGACAGTAAACTATGTAGGAAGAATTCACATCTAACTCCCTATAGTTCTTCCTGGGTCACAAGCATTATTTAGCAATGCTCCATAATTTGCGGCTCTAATCCATTTCTCTCTCAGTTTCAGGTGGTGATGAATTGGAAATGAAGAACAAGGGAGACCACAACAAAATCCACACAGTGGAGGAGCCATATCAGGATTCAGAGTGCGGACAGAGCTGCAGTCAGAGTTCCCATTCCACTTCCCATCAAAGAAATCCGCTTGAGAAGAAACCCCATCAGTGCTTGGAATGTGGAAAGAGCTTCAGTCGCCGAGGCCAGCTTACTGTTCATCAACTTATTCATACAGGGGAGAAACCCTATACATGTTTGGAATGTGGAAAGAGCTTCAATAAGAGCAGCAATCTCACTTCCCATCAAAGAATTCATATAGGAGAGAAACCCTATCAGTGCTTGGAATGTGGAAAGAGCTTCCTTCGCAGCTTCAGTCTCACTGTCCATCAAAGAAATCATACAGGGGAGAAACCCTATCAATGCTTGGAATGTGGAAAGAGCTTCAGTCAAAAGGGCAGTTTCACTTCCCACCAAAGAATTCATACGGGAGAGAAACCTTATCAGTGCTTGGAATGTGGAAAGAGCTTCATTCAGAGACGGCAGCTTACTGTCCATCAAAGAATTCACACAGGGCAGAAACCACATCAGTGCTTGGAATGTGGAAAGAGCTTCATAGACAAAGGCCATCTCACTGTCCATCAAAGAATTCATACAGGGGAGAAGCCATATCAGTGCTTGGAATGTGGAAAGAGCTTCATAGACAAAGGCCAGCTCACTGTCCATCAAAGAATTCATACAGGGGAGAAGCCATATCAGTGCTTGGAATGTGGAAAGAGCTTCAATAAGAGCAGCACTCTCACTTCCCACCAAAGAATTCATACAGGAGAGAAACCTTATCATTGCTTGGAATGTGGAAAGAGCTTCATTCACAAAGGCCAGTTCATGGCCCATCAAAGAATTCATACGGGAGAGAAACCTTATCAGTGCTTGGAATGTGGAAAGAGCTTCATTCAGAGACGCCACCTTACTGTCCATCAAATAATTCACACAGGGCAGAAACCCCATCAGTGCTTGGAATGTGGAAAGAGCTTCATAGACAAATGCCAGCTCACTGTCCATCAAAGAATTCATACAGGGGAGAAGCCATATCAGTGCTTGGAATGTGGAAAGAGCTTCATAGACAAAGGCCAGCTCACTGTCCACCAAAGAATTCATACAGGAGAGAAACCTTATCAGTGCTTGGAATGTGGAAAGAGCTTCAGTCAAAGCAACATGCTCACAACCCATCACAGAATTCATACAGGGGAGAAGCCATATAAGTGTTCAGAATGTGGAAAGAGCTTCATTCACAGAAGCCACCTCACTGACCATGAAAAAATTCATACAGGGGAGAAAAAATATAAGTGCTTGGAATGTGGAAAGAGCTTCATTCGAAGAGGCCAGCTCACTGTCCATCAAACAATTCATACAGGAGAGAAACCTTATCAGTGCCAAGAGTGTGGGAGGAGCTTCAGAAAAAAGGACAGTTTCACTTCCCATCGGAGAATTCATACAGGGGAGAAACCCTACCAGTGCCAGGAGTGTGGAAAGAGCTTCCTTCACAAAGGCCAGTTCATGGCCCATCAAAGAATTCATACGGGAGAGAAACCCTATCACTGCTTGGAATGTGGAAAGAGCTTCATTCACAGACGCCAGCTTACTGTCCATCAAATAAGTCACACAGGGCAGAAACCCCATCACTGCTTGGAATGTGGAAAGAGCTTCATACACAAAGGCCAGCTTACTGTCCATCAAAGAATTCATACAGGGGAGAAGCCATATAAGTGTTCAGAATGTGGAAAGAGCTTCATTCACAAGTACCAGCTCACTGTCCATCAAAGAATTCATACGGGGGAGAAACCATATCAGTGCCAAGAGTGTGGGAGGAGCTTCAGAAGAAAGGACAGTTTCACTTCCCATCAGAGAATTCATACAGGGGAGAAACCCTATCAGTGCTTGGAATGTGGAAAGAGATTCCTTCACAAACGCCAGCTCACTGTCCATGAGACAATTCATACTGGGAAGAAACCCTATCAGTGTTCAGAATGTGGAAAGAGCTTCATTCACAAGTGCCACCTCACTGTCCATCAAAGAATTCATACGGGGGAGAAACCATATCAGTGCTTGGAATGTGGAAAGAGTTTCCTTGACAATCACCAGCTCACTGTCCATCAAAGAATTCACACAGGAGAGAAACCCTATAAATGTTTGGAATGTGGAAAGAGCTTCAATCAGAGGTCCAAGCTCACTTCCCACCAAAGAATTCATACAGGGGAGAAACCTTATCATTGCTTGGAATGTGGAAAGAGCTTCAATGAGAGGTCCAAGCTCACTTCCCACCAAAGAATTCATACAGGAGAGAAACCCTATCAGTGCTTGGAATGTGGAAAGAGCTTCAATCAGAGGGCCAAGCTCACTTCCCACCAAAGAATTCACAAAAGTGAGAGACCATTTCAGTGCCAAGTGTGTGGAAAGACTTTCAGCCACAGGGCCCGTCTTGCTTCCCATCAAAGAACTCACAGTGGGAGCGAACTACAGTAGTGGCTGTGTACAGATTTAATTGGAGGAGACTTTAGTTCGTATGAGGTAATGGTTGCAGCTGGGTTCTTTGCCACATCTGGTGCCCCATACATGACTAAGCCATTTCTCACCTTCTCACCCCTTACCTTTTCCTGTAAGACCTATTACAGTCGTTAAGAGTCGTCAACAGGCTCATCTCAGCCACCTGCCAATCTCCCATTCCCACCACCCTTCTGAGTAATACCCCTCCCCACCTTCTCACTATATAGAAGGATCTGGCAACTTCTGTTTCAGTGTATCTGAAGAAGTGTGCATGCACACGAAAGCTCATACCAAGAACTAACTTAGTTGGTCTTTAAGGTGCTACTGGAAGGAATTTTTTTATTTTGACTATGGCAGAACGACACGGCTACCTATCTACAACTGGTGCCCCATAGTAATTCCTACCACGTACCCAGAACTGTGACTTGAAAGTCCTTTGCCAAGGTGTTGAATTCCTTCTTTATGTCATGCCTGGGGAGAGGGATAAGAGAGATTGGGCGACATTTACTGTCCATGATGAGCTTTCCTTGGAAGGAGTTGGTGTAAAATTTGAGATAGTTGATTGAATTAGATATTAATGATTTTAATTTTGTTTGAAGTGTCCTAGTTAATTGCATTTAACATTTTAGATAGAATGTATTAGTCTTGATTTGTATGCCTGCATTTTGTAACCCTCATTCCACCCTCCTGAACTATGTAACGCTGTGATGTGTACGTTCCCTACAGCTTGCAGCCTTTTCTGACCCCAGAAGGGCAGGTGATGTTTTGGGAAAGAGAGAAAGGGAGAAGTGTTGAGCTAGCATTTCCTTAGCCTGGTTGCCTAGGAACGTTGTTGAAATGAGACATATGAGACCCAAATACAATAGAAATAGAAATACTTTGTTGTCACTTGTACAACTTATATACAGTGAGATTACACGAGCACCCCCCACTCAGCTCTCTTAGTCTTAATTCCCCTCGTTTACTGATGCACACCCACCAAACCCGAAAGTCAGTTGCCCTGTTTTTATCTTTTCATTCAGCAGCCTAACAGCCTAACAAATGGCCTGGGAACTGTGGGAGTCGATATTCGCATTAAGCAACACGTCCCATGATCTGAGAACTTTCTTGATGCAAGTGGAAGAGTGTTGTGGCATTTTATGAGTCTTTGTGTGCTGTGTATATTAGCTTTCTTCTAATGTGCCTCCTGGAAGCCTTTTCGAACTAGCTGCTCTGCTGAACAAGTGGTTAGCAAGGCTATCCTATTGCAATAGTTTGAATAAACTGGGTCCCAACAGAATTGCTCTCATTCCCTTGGTCCCGTGTTTATATTTGTGTTCCCTCACCTGGGAAACAAACTGATGGTGTTGAAGCAAATTCTTACTACCCAAGCTTTATTTATTATTTCTATAGATATTAAATTTCTAGAGCACCATTGAGGAGGTTAAGGGATGATATGATAGCCATGTTCAAATATATATAAGGATGTCACATAGAGGAGGGAGAAAGGTTGTTTTCTGCTGCTCCAGAGAAGCGGACACGGAGCAATGGATCCAAACTACAAGAAAGAGGATTCCACCTAAACATTAGGAAGAACTTCCTGACAGTAAGCGCTGTTCGACAGTGGAATTTGCTGCCAAGGAGTGTGGTGGAGTCTCCTTCTTTGGAGGTCTTTAAGCAGAGGCTTGACAACCATATGTCAGGAGTGCTCTGATGGTGTTTCCTGCTTGGCAGGGGGTTGGACTCGATGGCCCTTGTGGTCTATTCCAACTCTATGATTCTATGATTCTATGATCTGAGGATGCCAGGGTGGTTCACATCATGAGTAGAGAGGTTCACAGTGCTTCCTCTTCCAGCGCCTCCAAGCTGCAAATTGGTGGGGCTCCTTCTTTCTCCTGCTCATCTCTGTCTGCGCTGCTTTTACTCTGGTAGACCGCGTACTCACAAGAGAGCAGTTGGGAGTCCCAGAACACCAGGACTCCTTCCCGGGAACG